AAAAAAAATTTTTGTTTTGATTTAAGCCAGTAGTCGTTACTTTATGGAAGAGTGAATGTATGCATGAAAATTTCAAGGTTACCTTTTTCTATATTACCGTACTTCAATGTTATTTAAGGTTTAATGGTTATGTTGAACATGAAAGCGGTGTTAAAGAGCCAGTGGATAAGGTTAATCTTCTACTTCGTGGCTGTGAAGTTCGGAATACGGATTTTGTTGAAGGAATTGTGCTTTATGCGGGTACAATTTTATCACATTCTTTTATTTGTTTCTATGTAGAAGACTTGTAATCGTTTCCTTGCTTTCAACTAACATCGATTTAGGGAAAGATACTAAAGCAATGCTGAATAATTCTGGTCCGCGTTACAAACGTAGTTCACTTGAAAAACTGACTAACTGGGATATTATATGGTGCGTCGTTTTACTGTTCCTCATGTGCATATCAGGTGCCATATTCTCATCAGTGTGGCTAAATTCATTTGAAAGTCCGTATAGTGTTCAGTATTTGGATTTTTCCAAAGAAACTAGTGATTTCAGCCCAAGTAGTGAAGGAATGATGAATTTCTGGCGATTTATTGTTGTTTTACAGGTCCGTTTATTCTCTTCTAAACTGTTTAAATTGGAACAGTCTATTAAATTGATTAATGTTTATAAAGGGAATTGTCCTTACCAATTTTCTGAATTAAAAAATTTAACTTTACAGATCAGCAAAGGCAACGATAAAGATCTATTATCAGCTATAAGTCACATTATGAAATATAATTGCAGGTTATGATACCGATCTCACTTTATGTCTCAATTGAAATTATTAAGCTCGGGCAGATATTTTTTATGTCGCAGGATATAGAGTTGTATTACGAACCGGTAGACAAAGGGATTGAATGCCGTGCTTTAAATATCCCGGAAGAACTTGGACAAATTCAGTTCGTTATGTCAGACAAAACAGGAACATTGACCGAAAATAAGGTATTTTTTGTGTGCGTAAGAAAGTTTGAGCTATAGACAAGCTCGGTACTGTTTTTTTCATTTTTGGAAAGAAAACAGAGAATTTTGATAGAAGTGGAAATAAGCGCTTAATAAGTGCTGTTGCAGATGATTTTTCGGCGATGCTTTATAAATGGGAAAGATTATGGAGTAGACATGAGGTCTGAGCCAAACGGCAGCTGTACATCTTATGGGAAGCCAGTTTTACATATTGATAAAGAGCTTAAAGAACTTCTAAGAAGCGCTGCTTTGCTTAGTATATCTAAAGGAGATGCCTGTTTGGATGAAAATGAGATGTATTATTCTGAATCACATTTGTTTCATTTCTTTGTGAACATGGCTCTCTGCAACACTGTTGTTGTGAACGCACAACCCCATCAGGTATATAATTTTAATTTTCAGGCTTTTTAATTAACGTTTATTACTACGTAGTTGCCATTTGAATATAAATAATTAAGGATCAAATGGACGAATCTGGTTCGGTCTCAAAAAACATGTTTGCAATTGCAAATGCTGCCTTTCAAAATGATGGAAGCGATAAAAGTAAATTTTTGAGGGATTAATAATTTTAACTTGATTGGCGGCTTTAAGTGGAAGTGACAGTATTCAATTTAACATTTTTCCCTCTGAATAGTTGCTATTTTAAGGGGATGAAATTTGGGTTAAGGAACATGAAAATGAAGAGGTTGTTGAGGAAGACCAGCTTGAGGGAGACGAAGCAAAAGTTCCACCACTTGCAGACGAAGGTAAGTTATCTCGTAAGTTTGATAAGTTCAAGCAGAGTTTAATGTGTCCTAGTGATTAAAGATGATGTAAATTGACCTTAGAAGCTCCCGCTTCTGATACATCTGTTTTGTAGTCATAAATACTT